GAGAATCCCTATCCGGATAACAGAAAGTTGGTTAATTACCCTTCAGCGTCAGAATTCATAGACTCAAAACGGTTTCAACGGAAAAAAGTTTTGCTGCATTCTTTCAAGACACTAGTAAGTGATCAGCTTTTTCACTTCTCAAAAAATATATTACACTCTGTTACATTTAATATGGTTCATAGTGATTGTGTGACGTCTAGAAAGTAAAAATGTCACTGCAAACCTTAATTGTTGATACATACTGTCTTCTAGGCACTTTTCAATGGTGAATAACAAATTTTTCGTCTTAGTGGTGGCTTACAGTGAGATCTAGGAGGTAAGTCTCCTCCCGTTCTGGACTCGTGAACTAAATTTAAACAACGCTGATTACTGTACAACAAACTTCTGTCTTACAGTAAGACTATGTACTCCTACAAAAAAACATACTGCAGTAATTAATAGTGACTGAGAAATGAAAAGGACTACCAGATGGTAAAAAAATGCGCCAAGACAAACTAATAACCAGGTTGAACATTAGAGAATTCACAGGAGCCACTGTGCCAAAGCAATTAAAAAAGTGGTGGCTAAAGGTTCGTTCTAAATATCATAGTATTTATGTACCAGGATAGAGTAGAGAAATGCTGTTTTTTAACCATATTTCACTGGTCTCATTATCTTTGTCGAGAACTGTAGAGTACAATTTGAGTATCTATTAAAAATGGAAATCCTTTTCTCGCTCATATGTGAATAGATGATGAGGGACATTAATACATCTAAGAGCATTCCTACGAAAACTAGTAACCTCAAAATGACCGTACATTATGGAAGTAAATTGAGTGACTCTTAGAACTCGATAACCATGGATAGTTAAATATATGAATGCTGACGATGGTACACAAAGCGCACAAATATTATCACCCCTTTTCAACTTAATCCCCTCCTTCATCGTCATAATCTATTCAATTTGCTAACGTATTTCATACGATCCACTCAAGCCCTTACTATTTAACCACTGATAAAGTTTTTAGCCAAAGGAAATCGGCATCTAGTATTCCATAACCATAATCCTAACCTCACGTAGAAGCTTTGAATTCCACATAGAATCAAACAATATAAAATACAAGTCTAAGCTGTGATTCTTAAGGCTATGAATGCATGTTTTATTTCTGTTAAATGTTGGTAACCATGGTATATTTACTGACTGAATCTCACCTCGAATTTGTAACAAATATTTAAGCATATTCAAGTGAGTTCGTAGTGATTCAAGCATTAGTTCCCCTGAACTTCTTGGTGTAGTTATGCTACTAATTGTTGTAGTGGAAATTATACTTATGCCTCCGGAATAAACAGATCTCTGATGACTTAGAAGATACATCACACCTGTCAGAACATTTTTGTAATAGCCCACCATATACAGTTCAGACGACGTGAAGGATGACTGCTAGCTGATAAGGGCTGGCAGTTAATTTGCTAAAGGCGAAAAACTCACATTAGCGAATAACTTCAGCGTTCATCCTTAGAAGCTGAGTAAATAGAAAAGGCACTTATGTGAGTGTTTAAGGAGCCTGGTTCTCAGAAACCAGTGTAAAACTTTGTTTGACACTTGCTCGTTTTTGGTGAGAACCAACTTCAAATATCAGAAAAGGATACAGTGGAAAACCAAACGCTTTCTTGTCATAGTCAAGCCATAAATGCTAACAGCTTATGTAATCCATTAGGTTCTAGCAGACTACGATCTCTAATTCTTAAGTGATTTCTTGGAATTTTATCACAAATGAGTTCAAACGTGCTTTTTTTCCGTGTAGGCTAGAGGAAAATGAAACTCAAAATTCTATGTGCTAGATAAAGTAACGCAGGTATCAGTTTGAAAATTTGCCGTGACCAAGGTTATTTTTATTCCGACATAACTCCGCTTCATATTCACTATCGTTTAGAAACGCTGGCAAATACAAATCTTACGTTTAATTTTATTAAGTCAGAAGAAGTTTCCCCCCTTTTTTGGAATAGTTTATGCACAAAATCTCGTTAAATATGCACTTCTCACAGGTAGGAATAAAATTTGAACGACGTCTTCTTTGGGAGTTTTCATGGTGACTCCAAGTAGCAGCAATTGGTAAAAACAAGGAAAGTGGAGAAATACTCGAGTAATGCAGTAGACAATAGCTACTAAGGCTCACTCAGCAAAACATTAGCTCGGAAAAAGTGATAATCAGTTTCAAAGTTAAGCTCTTTGAATGCACAGCTACAGAGCTACATAAGAGAAGTGAAAAATAACCTGACTAGCCTACAAGTACCTCTTGGTTTCTGGGGGTACAGTATCCAAATTGGTTTGTCTGCATAAGCTCAGTAAATCTTAAATAAGTTGTAATAGTAATGCGAAACCTAAAATCTAACATATTAGTATGGCTAGACGCTCCAACTGCAGAAGTCTCTTAGGATGGTAACAGGTAAATGTTAGTTGAACCAGCTACAAAAACGTCTAAGATGTGTATTAACAATATACCGACTAATTACTTTCAACGTACTAGATTTTGGGACACATTAGCACTTTGAAACTTTATGAAAACAGCTGACTTCATACCTTTTATAAAGCTTGTGGACATCTATAATTTCAGGTCACTGTGATCTGTTGGCTGCTTCTAAATTATCTACAAGCAGCCTCACCCTCGTTAGAGATATAGTGGTTTAAACAAATTTGATCTTATCTGACTTGCCGTAGGTTAATCTTTTGTTCAAAAGTCTTTTCATTGGATCACAGTATGCAGAAAGAAAAGGTGAAAGTGAAAAACAGAGTCTTGTTGGCGATTTGAGATTGAATTCGGGGATGTTTGCAATAGGTTGGCAGTCTCTTAAAAGCAAAATGATGATGCGAAATTGCTCTATATCGGATTGTGCTTCGAGAGTAGGGGGTTAAAGGAGTTGAGCGTTATGACCCTATTTCTCATTCAGAAATCTTATTCGACCTTGGTAAAGTAATCTTAGACGAATTCTCGTCATGTAAACGAACGGCTTGTTCAGCATTTTTCAGGCCAAACAACTTCGGTCATCGGCAAGGTGTCCACTAGTAAATGGTGAGCATTCTATGAAGCAATAGGTTTTTGATTTTCACATATTATTCTACTGTTTTTATGATATTTCTTCGCTTTGTTATCGTTTAAAGCTTCATCTTATGTAAATCAGTATCAAAAGTCATGAAACGATTTTTCTCGAAAAACCTTCGACATCAAAACTTCCACCATATTTCCTTCTGCTCAAACTAGGAAATAATCATAGAAATAGAGAGTAAAATGATAAGTATACATCTGGTCAACAGAAGCTTTTCAAATGAGCAAGTAGGATGAAAAATAGAACAAATTCTGTAGTCATTCACACTGTCTTTTCTTTAGCCCTCCTAGCTTTTTGTTTTACAGCCTACAACGGTCAGTGGTACTTCATAGCAATTTACAACGGCCTGATTGAACCTCGGGCTGCCAAATTTATCCACCGAACATTTTTCACCAAATTATTTTTTTTCAATTTGTTTTAATCATTTAAATATGTCCTTTGAAAGTATCATGTACTCTTACATTTTTTAAAACTGTTTCCAACTCTCCGTTTCTCAAGTTCAAAACAAAGCAGGGAAAAAATTTTACACCATATGGGAACGGACTTTTCAGTGTAAAAAAGTAAGTCATATTTCTATCACTCAGATGCTTAGCTTGAGTAGCGGATTTTTGTACCGTCTGAATGAACGGCCACCATCAGAATTACGCTTGCATTTCTGTTGATTCTTCATTATGGACCGGATGCCCATCCAGAACCAGCTGGCCGTTTCATATTATTGCCTTGAGTGCTGTAATTATTAACATCATCCGATGCAATAACCGTTTCGTCTGAAAGTATTGTTCTGGGAGTGAATTTGCTGAAAAATTAGGTGCTGAGAATTCAATACTATCATACATATATTGTTTGGAATAAAGCGATTATTATCATTATTTCTAGATGACAGAACTTTATTTGATGGAAACATATTATGTTGATTTAGTAAGAGATAAATACTACCCGAGTAACAAAAATTGGTGTAAGACGTCTTACTTCACTTTTTCAATTTAGTTGATGATGGTGAAAACATAAGCCAGTATGAAAGTTTGATCGATTAATTTTTTATGAAGGTGGACAATATGGAATAAAATCCTTGTCTGTCTTTCGAAGCACAACTATCATGGTAAAAAATGTATATACGATAATAAGTTGGTCATCATATGCTATACCATACCAAACACTTTAGGTGCATATTGTAAATAAACCATTGACATTAGTAGAATCAAGTCATTTGCTTGTTTGAATATTCCTACACTTTCAGATTTGCTGATGTCCTATGACAAACAAAGAATTACCGAGTGACCTTCTGCCTAAAACTACTACTTCAGTGCACTTCACCACATCGTTGTTGTCTTAAAATCCAGATGTTACTAGTCTTATGCCCATTTTATTTGTCCTACAGTCTTCAGATTCTTTCAGTGACGTGCATGAATATTCTGGGTTTCATTTTTTTAATGTTCAGTTCAATGTCAAAGATTATCAAAGAGAACTGTAGTTATAAGAGTAAAAGATATCGTTAAGTAATTCGAAAGGATTTTACATCCACTCAATTTCAGATTAAAATAAACCAACTCACTTAGTTGTTAAATGATGCATGTTAACTTGTCGAGATCGTTTAGTAAACGTTCAATTCTTTGTATTTGCATATAAGATATATAAGGACTCAATTCTGCATATCTAGATAGAATTCCTGCAGAATCCTACAGCGTAACATGAACAATGTAGCTGCAACTTGGACATTTCATTCCAGATTAAGTTTTCATTCATACCAATTTACTTAAGACAGTATTTTTAACCACTTTTTTCAGAACAAATAGCATCTTAAAATCATACTTTAGTTACTGACCTAAAGATCATTTTTCCACAGTCTTTTGAACCTAAAAAGATGCTAATTATATTTTCTTAAATTGAAGAAGAATCCGTGAAAAAAAGGGAATGTGTATCAAAATTAACTTTTATTTAATTTATCTTTTACACTTGTTGACAAAAAAGATCTCATCAAATAAGGTGGAATAAGAAGACAAAAGTGTGAATAAAACCTAGAGTAAACCAACAAGTAGTGAAAAAAAAATGAGTGTATCACTGCTTTAAAATGATCCAGAATAAATAAAGAAAATCCAAACTCTTTTGATAAGAATACCAATCACTTTCATTTTTTACAACTGTTATTGACATATTACAGTACAAATAAGAGTAAATATATGTCAAGTATCGGTCAAGTGGAACCAACAATTTTTCAATGAATCTTATGAGTGAATAAGGAAGTAAGTGAGTGAATGAGTGAATCAGTGAGTATATGACAGAGAAAAATAAGGATGCAAAGAGAACGGCTTAGAATAAATACTCAACCACAAGAAGCTGAAATATTACCCAAACAGAATCAAATAGAAAATGAAGGCAGAGAGAAAAACAATAAAACTGTTCACTTTATTTAGTAACAAAACATTATAAGTAAATAGATATATCTGTTATGCATATGCCTTTATAAGTGATGGAAAGTTTGGCAGTATTTGATCAACCTAGACAGCTTATTTAGACGCTGATTTATTTCTAAATCAGATGTGGCTGGATAGAGAGGCATGACAACGAAACAAAACGGCGCTATATGTGTTTTTAAATGCTTTTTTCTACACTAGATTTGTTTTTTTTTAAACAAAAACAAAACAAAGTGCTACAACATCTTGTGAATATCTTTCAGCTCATTATAGTCTTCTTTGGAAAATTCTCTTAAACTTGCTGTTTTACTTATCAACAGGAATGCAACAGAAATTAACTGATAAAAAGTTTAAAACTTCATTCTTTCATGTTTCATATTTACTAGGAAAATTAATGAATTATAAAATAAAAAGATATTTTTTAACCAAATAAGGAAAAGAGGCGAACAGATGGTGACCAAAAACTAGAGGAAAATGAGTACAATTAACAATTGACAAACAAAGTAATGATCACCCCGTGTTTATATTTACACATAGAGAAAGATGTAGTAAATTTGTAAAAGCTTTCGTTCTTCAGAGACTGATTTTCAAAGTGATTTTCATGAGTGTGATGACAGTATTCATGACAGAATGTTTCCTCCTTGATAGGCATACAGTATAAACTTCTTTGTTCACAATACCCAGTACAGTGAACAATTCTAATAATGTCAAGTTAAGTTTTATTTCCGTCACTGATATTGGTTTCTGTGATTTCGTCCACTTCTGTATTCAGTGCGGATAACTCTGGTGCAGTGTCAAAAGGATGCGTTGGTGACGTTAATGATGACGGTGATGAACATGAAGTTTGCAGTTTGGAGGGGATTTTATTCTGTTTTTCAACAGAATTTGACTCATTACATTGTATTTGTGATATTTTATCTTCATCAAATGCGAAGGTGGATAAGGAATCTGTTGAACCAGTGAATTTCTGTATTGTTGAATTACTTTTATTTAGTTGAAGACGACGTAACAAATGAAGTACAGCAGTTGCATTGTAAGCTTTCTGTACATAAATTAAGTGCGAGGTAAAAGAAAGTGAGCATAATTAACTTACAACATTAACTATTTAAATAAAATATTTTTGTACGAAACTAACAACAAGTGATTGGATCGCCAGACGGAACGAATTTATATTACTCAGAAAAATGTGACATAACCTTCCTTTCATTTTCTGAATTATATGTCTCTTAGCTCTTGGCATTACAAGGTTCACTAACCATCACCACCTCACAATTGAGAAACATTCTTAAGGCGATATATCGCGCTTAAAAAGACAGATAATTTGATATTCACCAGCCGTCCAGAACTTCCTTTAAAGATTAATTCATCTTCATATTTCATGATGATCGCAAAATGTATTATCGAACGACTATCACCTTGATCGATTATTCTGTACAATTTTCAAGTATCTCCCCAGTTTAAGTGTTTCTCATATCTGACAAAAAAAGTTACTAACACCCGTTTTTGATGACTGATAAACATATACGCGTCTAAATTGAACTATCAAGGTGCCTGAGTTCTCCTATATAACAATATTACTTGCTTACTTCTACGTATATATTTGCAAAAATTAGTATTTTTTAGTTAAATTTCAATGTAGTGTAGCCGAAAATACTTAACTCCGACAGATGTCGATGGTACTGGGGTTAATTTCGTTTGATGATTATGGCTTGAAGTTCTATTGTTATTTGAACCTACACGTCTAACTAACCTGTAAGTTAATATTCTTTGTGCCAGAAGGTTAACGGATCCTTTAACTTTTAATACTATCTTATAAAACTTCACCGCTTCAAACACATTAAGCAAAGATTTAGTATTATGATCATATATCTTTAATAAGCTATCCTTATGATGCGTAATTTAGACGAGATGGATGAAGCGTATTTTCTAAACATGAATTCATCTTTGAAAACGGTATTATTAAAGTATTTTTTGTCAACCATACAAAATATGTTCAGACTTTATAGTAATTTTAGTTACAAAGAATGCGGCCAGCATTTTTCCTGAGCCTTTTCATTCAAAAAGAAAGCATACAATACAGTAGGCCAACCTAAACAATACGTGAACTTTCATTAACAGTAACACTTATTCTAGCCTCTATGTTTCGATTATTCATCAATACAATAATACGATCTCAAATCTTCAAGTAAAAGAGTAGTGGCTGGTCGAGTCAGCAAAAAGATACATCAGTATAAGATTAGTAACCAAATATACAATCTTTTCGATCTGTAACTCATTCGAAACCTTACCCATCCACTCTGTGGATTTGATTTCCTGACCCCCTCATTTCGCCGTGAATCCTGACCATTTTTCGATAATGCTTTATCACTAAATATAAGTAAATTAGTTGTGTTTGCTGAAATGTCGGCCAACCTTTTTCTCTACCAGATTCTTATGGTCACTACTAAACTCACACTACCTTCCGCTCAACCCTTTTCAACAGCTTACCTTCAGGCTAGGCGTAAACCTAACAACAGCCGGCTATCGCAGATGCGCATAAAAAACAAGCAGTTGAGTAAACTAACTTAAAAGGTTGCTGTTACTGAATAGTAAACATCTGTTGCAAATTTATATCTCATCAGAGAGAGTTATAAAGCTTAAATATGCTCAAATTACTGGCTCACAGTATAATGATTTTCACTGAAATACAACCAAATTAAGCTGATCAATCTGTTTGTTAGAGTTTGAAGTCAATTCTATCAACTTCAACATCAAAATTTGTTGATTGCGGTACACAGACAGTTAATTCGAAACAAGTTTCACTTCAGAAAAATATCCTACTGAGAAATTCAAAAACACAAATCAAGTCAGCAAAGAAAATTTTCTTCTCGAGAAATCATTTCCAGTGGCTGTACAATTGTACTTATAGTAAGTTAATGAGTCTACTTTTGGCTAATAGGTCAACATCAGGTCATCAAAACGGAATGTTCCAGTATGAAATAGTAAGTTGATTATAGAGTTGGAGAGGAATTGTGTAATTATAGGGTGCATAGGGAAAGTGTGTAGTCAATCAAGGTGATGACTAATCGGTTAGACAATATTAATACAGATTACAGTCACTAATCGGAGTAAAGTATTATTATAATTATAAGTTAGCAGTCAGTAATAGTAAGATGAATAATGAAGCAGTAAATAAACTTAGGTGAGAGAATATAAGTACTTCTTCCGTGCACAGGGCTCTGACTTAAGTCATTGGAATTTCAAACGCATATTCGAGCAGTATCCCACTTAATTGCCCAGAGAAAAATGCAAGTTAGGCAACAGTTCTATCTTGTACCTTTTCGCAAACTTTAGTTATATCTCTTCCTCATAGTCTTCTTCCAAAACCCTAGACAACGGTAAGCTAAACGGTTCAAAAGGAGTTTGGATTCGTCACTTATGTAAAGCAGAAGCATTAGCTTCATCATTCATCTTACTCTTACTGACTGCTTACTTTTATTGTCTTTACCTCACAATTCAATTTCCTAGGTCTTGACATATAAATTCCAACTTCTCATTACGGTTCTAATGATACTTTGCTCCGATTATTGATTGTAATCTGTATTAATATTGTCTAACCGATTAGTCATCACCTTGATTGACTACACACTTTCCCTATGCACCCTATAATTACACAATTCCTCTCCAACTCTATAATCAACTTACTATTTCATACTGGAACATTCCGTTTTGATGACCTGATGTTGACCTATTAGCCAAAAGTAGACTCATTAACTTACTATAAGTACAATTGTACAGCCACTGGAAATGATTTCTCGAGAAGAAAATTTTCTTTGCTGACTTGATTTGTGTTTTTGAATTTCACTTACCTATACAGTTATCTAAACCTAGACATTCCGCTACTGGAAATTAGATATGACTTGTCTTCACTTCGCATAGTCATATTAGAACAAATATTCTTTGAAAATACCCAACAACCAATAAACTGTACCATATGTATTTTTTTTGCCATGAATTATAATCCATCTTCCTTTGTGAAGTCGATTATACAACTATTTTCTGAAACAGTTGATCATATGAACAAAAAAAGTGTAAGACTTACTTTCCATCGTTTTACAGCCAAGAAGTTCTTGCGTATTTGTTCACTAACAAAAGGATAAAGATCCCTATCGAGTGCTGTATTACTAGCTATCCAAGGGTGTTCCAGTGCTTGTGTACAACTGTAACGCTTTTTCGGATCTTTCTGTAATAGGTGACGAATAAAATCTTTGGCTGAAGAGCATAAGAATTGAAAAATGAAAAATGAATTAGAATTGAAACGATAAATTCAAGCATTATTAGCTAAGGTTTTTTATCATTACTAAGGTAAATGATATTCAAAATTATGATATACTTTTCAGAGATAAAATATTATGACTGATAGGGAATAAATTTAGCAAAGTGTGATTTCATCAGTCTAAAGTTTTCATTTAGTGATTTATTATGCAGCCAACAAACACTGACTTTTCAATCAAGCAACTAACCAATGAAATGAATCAATTTACCCAAACTATGACTGAAATCACTTGAGGAATAAAATGAATCACGTTATATAACCACCAAGTAAGAAATAGACACCTAAATATTTATAATTTCGACTTGATGTTTGCATATGTGGAATAAAAAGCTGTACTGCATAAAACGATCTGTGCTAACATTCAAACCACTAGTGTGTTGGAGAAAACTATATAATTTAAGATATTAAAGTAACATAAAAGTCTCAGTATGAACACAGTAACGGATGGCATGTAATATGAAATTACAGATCCGTTACAAAAAAAGCACAGTGTGCATCAAGGTTGACATCAATCGAACTATAGAGAGCTGTTTGTATTAATAAAGTTGTGATAACTTTGGCACCTACAACTCTCCTAGATATTCAGCAAAGTTTCATATAAAACATTGCGTTAATAAATTTAAACAGAATGAGAACAACAGTTTGAGTAGGACAGCACCAATTCATTTTCTCAAAGTTTCTTATCAGCTGCCTACAATTTGAATCAGACTGAAGGATAATTAAGGAAAAGAACACTGGTGTTATCCCATATTAGATTGTTTATTTGATATAGCACGCAGTGAAACATTATAATTTACTAGATGATGTTTCTAGAAGAATTTATTGCTCATATTCATGTAAAAGAAACCATACGGCTTTCAAACTTCCTTTAGATAGTCCAATAATTTTTCATTCTTTTATTTTAATGGTAGTAAAATTTTCCACATATCTACAATATGTAGTGAGTCATTCCTGTTAAATGTGTTAAGTGAACAGAGTGAACAAAGATTCTGTGATCAGTCTCTTCCTCCACCTTGCTAAATCGAATTTTAGAATTATCACCCTAACCTCCCACCCTATAGTATGACTATCGATCAATGCATACAAAGCGATACCCGAGTTTCTAGCTAAATTACTTATCTTAGTAGGGTCTACATTGTATGTTTCTCTAAAGTTCTATGCTCTCCCATTCCGACTAACGCAGATCAGTTGCTCTGACCTATATAACGGACCTCACAATCATTACATGGTAACTGATAGATTCGGTTATTTTTCCCAATTGATTTTATTGGATCTTTTAGCCTACATAGTTTCTCTCTGAGCGAGTTTGTGGGTTTAAATGCCACAGCACTGATGTACAGTAATTTTGAATGAGTTTATTCAGAACGTTAAACAATTTAATGGGTTCTCAGAACACGAAGAAGTGTGATATTTCGTTTTCAATAAACTTAGTAAGAAGACATCATTGTTGTTTTTCTCAGATCCAGTTAATAACACTAATTACAGATAATAACAAATACAAATTAAAATAAAACACTATTTAGCGAATTTATGAGCGTTGTTCATTCATCTATATGCATAAATTTCTTAATAAAGACTCAGGCCAAATGTAAACGTATATCTAAGGAGTAAAGAAGTAGCTACCTGAGTCTGAAATATTATCCCAATATGGTGAATCAAATTCATATTCCGCCATTCGAATTTGACGAAAAAGTTCATGATCATTCTCATCATAAAATGGTGGGTAACCACAGAGTCTGAAGATTGTATTTCACAACAATATCGACAACAAGAAAGAAAAAAATACATTCTTAAAGTACAAAAACTGAAAGGCAATCAAAATTAATATGGAAAAGTAGTTTTTAATATTTCGCTGCATAAAAAAATTTGTATTTAACAAAATATATGAAAATTTTGTGTTAAATAACCTCGTCTGGCCAACAACACTCAGTAAAACTCGCTAACCAAATATCCGTAAGCAGTGTACTACAGCATCATTTACTTTTTGAAGACAATGAAAATGGAATAAATCTCATGTAAGGTTCTAACTAAATAATCGCCAATAGCAAGTAGGAAGACATATATCACCATAGGGTTCAGTGGTGAACTGCTAACCGCGGAACCTAGAGGCTCTGATTTCGATCCCTAAAACAGTAGTGGATGCACATTCCTGAGAAGTCCAGTACTTGAAAGAGACAGCTGTCCAGTGCTCTCAGTTTTTTTTATAGTCCTCCAACTGATATCAGTCGGCGATGAATACCACCTTCAAATCAGAAAATCCTTTCAAATCTCCAAATTAAATCACTCATGTTGGAATGTGAAACAGTCTAACTTGATTTCCAACAGAAAACATCAATGTTGTCACTTTTCACTTTTCAGTAATAATTTGCTACTAACAATCATTTTATATCTACAGGTTATTACATATTTTTCATACAGTTGGTTCCATTGAGAACTTTTAGCAAAGCTAGAACAAGTTTAGGAGAATACGATGAATCCACTGTATTTCGTCGCCTTCTCTGCAACTGCATACAGGCTATAAATTCACAAGATATATATAAAGAGAAATAAAATCCATATGATTAACTCATCAAGATGATAGTACATTGATGACATAATGAAAGAACTGATACAGATTAGGAAGGTTTAAATGAAATAATTTGTGATCACTAAAATTGAAATTATCTTGTGTTTATATAATCACATTGTCATCCTTTTACGAATGACCAATCAAAATGGAATAGAAATTATTGCGTAAGTATGTGTGGTGAGTTTGTCCTCCATATGATTAAAAATATTTTGTGCCGCGACTTTCATAACCACTCAATAATCACTGCCTTTACGGATTCAAATTGTGACCTATTCACTATCAAGATCAAAACGTTGAGGAATGATAAGAAATACCTATTCATTTTGTTATTTGTTTTAATATACTACGCCAGGATTATACAAGTAAAATGCACTTTATATACGGTTTGCCATCTGTTTCACAGCGCCTAGAACGTTTAGTACGTTTCTGTAAACATAATGGTACTTATGAGTATGACATATACACTTTAACTACCTAAATATGTTCAAAGGTATCTGTAGACGAATATGTGAAGCACATATACAATTATGGAATAAATCTGATGGACGACTACTTAACTTTCTACCTGGTTCATCAATATAAGAGTAAGACTTGGGCACTGTGGTCGAATGTAATTCCATTTTAGTCTGTTTATTAGAAATACCACACTGAGAAAAGCAGTAGCACTTACTGGATAACGTTTCGGACACAATTTATTGTCCATATTCATATCAGGTAACTCCACAACTTCGTGACAGACTTTATATATTCCTAATTTTCTCTCCTTCTCTGCGATGACGTGTGACCTCTGCATGCGATGACACACAATCACACAGTAGGGTGGGATAGGGTGACAGTGTTGAAAGCTAACTTAAATGGGTGGAGGGAGAGATTGATAACCGAATCTTTGTTTATCGAACCAACACCAAATACATGCAATCGAAATGATTCTGCACCTGTCCCATATATATGGAAAATTCTACTACCCTTGTCATCACAGAGAAGGAGAGAAAATTAGGAATATATAAAGTCTGTCTCGAAGTTGTGGAGTTACCTGATATGAATATGGACGATAAATTATGTCCGAAACGTTATCCAGTAAGTGCTACTGCTTTTCTCAGTGTGGTATTTCTAATAAACAGACTAAAATGGAATTCTAACTCATTCGTTGTTGATTTCATAAAATGACAGTTTAAACTCGTATGAGAAATGATTCACATGTTTATTCATCGTATTGATCAGCTGAGTGAATAATTTTTGGTTTTTTTTAGAATTGACGGTAGGAATAAACAGCTATTACTAGCATTTTATTGAAAACCATTTTATGTTTAAAATACATGGAATTTTCTGATAGAATATTCTTCTTCTGGTCAGTGTTTGTCAAGTTCTTTTAAAGGCTTATTAAAAGAGACAACTGATTCGATTGTTGGAATTAATAATCTGTATTAAAACAATAATGAAAACAAGTTTTTATTCCATAAGGTCATATTCACCAATGAACTGGAAAAAAACATGAACTCAGTGTTTTAGCTTCGTTTATACTGTGATGAATGCATTAGGAAGTAAAATGTTTTAGGTATCTGATCTAATTATATCAAGAGTCCTTTTAAGACACATTAGCTAGTGTCATATTAACTAGGTCAAACCAAGCAAAAATTTATTTCATTCTACATTCTCTCAAATTAAACTGAAATGATGAAGGGTAAAAATTCTGTATCCTAGTTTATTTGCGTTTATCTGAGGTCACAGCATAAATAATCTCTACTCTGTATACAGTTGAAAAGTTTCTAAAATTTATTATCACCTTATACCTAGTAGTTTATCGACCCTGGAAAATTAGATCAGCATTCAGTAAGGATTTGGACTGTAATTTAGAAATCATACTTATTAGTCATAATGTTTATTATTGTATATAAGCACCCTAGTGTTTATGATGCAAAACTATTCTAGAAGAAATTAGTGCAGGCGACCTGTTTCAAGGGTAAAACAAGAAACAATGAATGCGACTGAAAAGTTTACTTAAAGATATTACTGATATCAAAATATTTTTGCATTCTATGGTGCATGATATTTTAGTACGTCCGTTATAATTTATTCATTAAGCATATTTTATTTATTTACTCCCTCTGACTTGAAGACTGGGATATGAAGGTTAAACGAAGATTATATTATTAATACTTAGCAGTAATATTAACTCTCAAGTGAATAAGATTAAATAAACCGGTCAGCATATATCTTAAATAGACTAGAATGCAGGTAGATGCAAATCATATGTAATCAGTGAGATAATATGATCATCATGAACCCCAATACTAAGTAATATCTTGAACATTTCATATGAATAACAAGAACATATGCCCCCTGTCCACCGACGTTCTAACAACCGAGTCCACTGCATCTTTTTCAACTAAAGTCAGTGAATCTTCACATATTTGAAGTGGGTAGCACTTAAATATGTACTCTTCTATACATTGTTTCTTAGATGTAAACATACATATTTAACAAATCAGAACCCGAAGATAACAGCACAGAGATAGAACATCTCAAGCACTGAATAATAATCAAGTTAAAAAGAGGAGTATTACTTAGGAAAACAGAAATAAGAAAGGAGTGAAAAATATAGTCAAGTTCTAGAAGACAATAGAGAGTGAATACATCTGGCTGTTCTGACCTAGATAAGTGGAGAAGTCCTTGAATCCACTACCTACTGGTTGTAAGCCAACTCTTTAAGTAGACGACCCACAACTCCAGTGTCCCCTACAGGCCAAAACTCCTAGATTTGTTTTAGTCTTATCAGAAACTAGGTCATTGATGCTGTTGGTTTGAGTAAATGATACAGTTAGTTCTCTTTTATCATACTAGGCATTATCGCAGACAGTTTCTATACTATCATCTTACAACCAACCCTTAGCACTATCACAGTTTCTTTTTTCGGGTCTCTACTTTTTATAAATTTCCCCTCCTAACTGTTTCATCCTACAATTTTACTCTCGGTAGGTTAAATGGCATTCTACTAACTGAATAATCCCTGAAAGTCTGGAAGTCAGTGGAGTAAGTTGTGTCAGAAAACTAATCATGGTGCTGGTCTAAAATGTGATCAAGGTTTCTGAATGATAGCGTTTACTTTTGTTAGCTCAGTAGATAACTGCCTACAAACCTTTACACGACAAATCATGTTAGAACAAAAGGTATTTAGGCAACAAATATACTGGCTTAGTACTGTCTTCATTGTTAGATATTGCTCGAATAACTAACTGGTGAGAACAAGCCTTATTCTTAAGTCAGTCATTATGTTCAGCACTAAGAGACAGGAGCTATGCTTGCCTTTACAGCCTAGTGAACACCGAGTACTACGGTGAATAATCTTCTCCAACTTCTTAAACCTGTTAACTTTTCTAAAATATTTTAGATGCACCGTGTTTTTATACAAAGAATGATGAGTTAGAATATAGGAAGGAAACCTTGCATCTTGTAATGAATGTTAGACGGCTAATATAAGATAAGCAGTAGCTCAAAATGTACTCCACTCCTATCTAAAAGGTTTCAGGCATAATGTTGTATTGCTTCCCTTACGTCTGCTGCAGTCGTTTCAGTTAACTGCCTTCCTTTTGACATTTAATATCCTATTCAATAAAATTTATCACCAAATCCAATGAACATGTAAGTTAATTAAGCATTCACAAAATTCCATATGTTTATTTTATTCAGTATCTACAATTTATTTTATACATAAAAATGATTTCGAAAAGTCTGTGCTACTTAAAGTTTATTTAAAGTAATATGCTTTTTCAGAATTGTCTAAAATCTATGTTCCCCTATTCTGTAACCTCAGGAAGTAAAAATATTTCAGTGGTTATTTCAGATGAGCTCACCTACAGGACTGTAAACCCATTCTTTACTCATCAGTAACCTAATAACTGAGAAGTTTATAACTGCAGTTCGACAAACTCTTAAGGTGGCAAAAGATTTCTCGATTTCAAAGTTTACAGTAAACTGGGGGGACCTTACTAAATGCTGTGATTTCCATTTTGACCACCCAGTAATGCAAATAAGCGTGAGTTAAAGAAGGAAATTCGTTACAGGCAGTAGGTCCAACCAGTAAAAACCGCATGAACTTGACAGTAAACAACTTTAAATCAATAGTTTACCAAGATTTTTGGTGATTTATCTGGAAAGATTCAACGGAAAATATCAAGTACTTTAGGTTAGTCCAGTCGTAGTTGGCGTAATTTACTCACTGTACAGTGAAATATATAAATCTAGCTTGTAGCTGTTGTATGTAAGTGCTCACAGACGAAAGGCTTTTATTGCCATAGTTAAGAGGTTGAAAACATAGTCACATGGGAAGGACTTGAAATCCTAAGGTTTGACTAGAAACTCCTGTTAGACAACTTTAATGTTCCTTTTTGTTGAGTGAATAGCCTAGTAAATGTTTTGTATACCCATGTTCACTTGCTGAGATCTATCACAATCCAACTTCCAGCTACCTACAACTATATATTGATAAGTATTTAACAAAGTTGTTTAACACGTCAAAAGAATAAAGCATGCAATACACGAATAAAACTTACAAAATATAAGCAATTACGCCGATGGCCCAACAGTCTACTTCTTTCCCATAGCCTGAACTCCCTTCACTGACAGTAAGAACTTCTGGGGCTGAAAAAGTGAAATGTTGAAAAACAACATTATGTGCTACTTTCACACCTCAACATAACAACATTATTATAAGTCATTGGTTTTATTATCCATGTTGTAGGGATAGTAAGTGTTATGAAGTTCAAAATATTTGTGAAGGCAAAAAATAGTTGTATTCTACTGGCGTGAATCATTAAAATGTCTTTAGACAGCTGGAGATTCTTGATGTAAATACCATAAAGATAAACTACTTGAGAGCGTGGCAAAATTCTCCAGAATACCGTAGAAATCGCTTCATCAGCTATATTTGGAAACAAAGATATGAAGTTCACTAAACTTGCAATATGTTGACACAATGACTGATAGTCAATTTCTACTAGCAATGTTCGCTGCACCCATTACATGATCAGTTACGCGTCAAACAGATTGTTTCTTAATACATTAGAGTTTAATATGCGCAAAGACGTTAAAGACAGAGCCATTGGAAGAAAATATGAGTTATTCAGGTCAACAGAGCTGTTATTTTCCTTTTTCACCTGCTTGAAATCTGCGAAAATGATAATTATTTGCTAATATGGTATACATTGTGGAATACTGACCAAACAATCGATACTCGGCTTGTATCTTTATTCATTAAAATGTCTTCTCAATAACGAAAGTTTAAAAATATTTTTGATGCAAAGTCAAATGAAATATCACTGTATCAGCCTATGTGTTTTAAGCTAGCAAGATTTAATTGATGTTCTGAAAAAGGCGCCATTCCCAGATAGATGGAAACCAATCTTTTTATAACAATTCTGTGTTCTGTAGAATTCAACAGTTTATTTACCATACTAGAGAATCTTTTTAAGATATCTCCGTGATCATGAAGCATGAACAACAGGCCTGTGCAACAAACAGTATGGTGTTGTACATCACTTAGGTTGATGATACATTTGAGGTATAAAATAATCGTAATCGAAACAAATAATTCTTGTCGGCAAAACACATCTCAAAGTGCGATTCACAATGTGATATGAGCAACTTACAATGATATATCACTTGAAGGAAGCGACGAACTGAAATTCAATTCTAACTAGTTCCTACTTTCGTGACAATTAACTTACGATGGCTGACTTTCTGGAACTCATTAGTAAATATAGGAAGATAGAAACTAGAACATAGACGTATCACTTAAAAAGAATAAGAAGTTTTTGAGAATCGCAATTATAGGTGGTGGTTGGGAGAACATTTAACAGTGGCCTAATACTGTCCTGAGGATGACCAAAGTAAGCGATTTCAACCCAATTTATAGCTGGAATTTTTCAATTTCCCGAGTTTCTTGTTTTTTATTGCTTACTGAACTGTGCCAAATTATTCACATGTACCTGCCGAAAAACATCAGTTGCAAAGAAAGATCAGTTTTCAGCCGTATGTTAACGTGTTTCAAAACTTGACAGTTAGTCCCCAGTTCTTTACACTGCGTTAATACTGATTGCATTTGCCGTATCAGATGTGTTATTAACACCATGAGCTGACCCAAGAACTTACTGAAACCAAACTGACTGCTTTCCAACGAAATAGTTGTTATTAAGTAACCTACATCCTTTGTTTCACTAGTGATAGTCATGACAAACACGTAAAATTCGAAGAAAAGCAGATAGTCGAGTTGTAACAGCTATGGCAATACTAAGTGATAAAAATGTATACCGACAAATAATCTATAAAAATAAACTTATTTATAAATACAATAATTAGCTGTTAAAACGAAGACTATCACGTCTTAGAGATAAAACTGGACTGGATCACTTGTTTACTATTCTCTTTCAATATTATTTTGTCATTTCAAGTTTCTGAACTTTGTCATTCATGATGTCAGGTAGTTTATACATCTGTCTATATACCAAGGGAAACATGGAGAGATAAATAATTTTATACACTTCTTAACAAGTAAACGCATATAGGGATGAAAAGTTCCCCCTAATCCTTTGATGTATACATGTATCAAGCGTGAGTAATACATCTCTGCTATTAAATATAAGTGGTGTGATGTACTTGGATGCATTTATTTGTGTTTGGAGTTGAATGATTACTATCTAATATAGGATGCTATACCAATGTTCGCCATCTTCGGTCATCATTTTCCTCTCTTCTTATATTCATGTTTCTCTTATGCATAATCAAACGGAAAACAGAGCATAGAATTGACAATGAGAGAAATAATTAGGTAAATACACAAACTATGGTAGATTAACAATGTCACTGATTTCGACAATCACATTATGCAAAGTTATATGGGCAATTAGTACACTACAATTAGAGTTGCCACTATGTTATGAACATCAAAAGGAGACGGTGTATGTTAATAAAGAAGATGATAAGAGCAAAAGTCTTAATTATCTACGAGCATGTGTTATTTATTAGCATTGGCACATGTTATTAGAATTGTCTTTGATAAAATGAACCAGCGAGAACGAAATGCGGCATCTCAGATTCTACTACTTACTCATTATCTACCATTATTATCCGACCAAACTTAACTGCAATATCAAGGTATCCATGTAGGAGTCCACGTACCAATTGTTCCTGATCAACTCATTTCAATCAACAACGGGAAATTACCAGCTACAACATTAATGTATACAAGTATCTGATAATGTTGCCAAGAGGTTCCATGCGTTTAAAAAGGTTTTTTGAATCACACTGATATCAGTTAAGTAATATCACATGTTAATTACCAGACAAACAGCAACCATTTGAGATGAGTCTAATTGATTAAAGGGCAACATACTCGAAAATATGGTTACCATTATGATTCATAATAAATTCTGAGAACTAGACGTTATTTTCTATTGATTTCAAATCAATTTAAGTACTTCAGTCTCATGAACAACTGTATATCACAAACGTCTTTCATAAAAGCATCGAATTTTTACAACCACCAAAACACTTTATGGACTTTAGAATGTGACAAATCTCTCTGTTATTTAATTTATAGGACAAAATAACTTTTCACCTTTATTCCGAAATCATGGTATTCTTTACATTATCACTTGGATGAGTCACACTAAATGCTACTTAAAAACTGGGATAAAATAGTTGTGTAAGAAAACATGTAGACTATGACTGATTAGGACTGTATGTTGCCTTTCTTATTTGATACATCACACAAGGATAAGGAATAATTATAAAGATGATAACAATTTTGAGACATTAACCAGTTTTAAAAAGGTTGGTAGATCTCGATGTTTAACACCAAGTGCATAAAGGAAGATGGGAATGAAGAAATAATAAGATAGTTCAGCAAAGAGAATTTTTGTTGGTTAGAGGCAATCGGCAGGAAGCCCTCGAACTAGGTACCTAGCTTTTTGGCCTTCGTCAACAAGGCGTATGTGCAACTTCGGGGAACTGATGTCCTGTGTGACTCAAACCTGCGTCACCCAATAACGCAGTCAGTGACGGTACCAGTGAACTATCCGAGCTGCGACTGACCTCTAGGACTGGATAATACACATTGGTAGATCACTGAGGAGCAACTAGTCTCATGTTGTCTAGTCCTGAATGCTGACCGAATGCTATCGACCATTTCGCGATTTGGTCACAAAGCTTAAAAGCTCAACATCGCGATGTGCTTTGATGGATGGCTGTCGGTTGGTTGAACGCAATCTGTATGAATAGCTCAACGGCAAAGTCTCTAACTGCACCAGTGAGTGACATGGGTTCGAATCTTAAAGCGGACACCTGTCTCCTCAAAGTTGCGGATACCCTAGCTGTCGACTGCCAACAACCTCAAAGCCTAGGTCCATGGCTTCTTGCCAAATACCTCCAACCAACTAACATCCGTCAAACTGCACCACGATGGTGAGCCTCATGGTGTGGTGGGCTCATTACAAAAATAATCGACAGAACTCGGTCAGCACTTAGGAATAGATTGGTTGCTATGCAGTGATCAATCAATGGCAGAAAATCTTATTTTTCGATGATATCCCTTCTTTATGATATAATGGGCATCTTTCGGTGTCTAAGATGGAAATATCCCTTCGAATTTCATTTTCGAGGAGTAGGAAAACAGATTTGAAACATCCATGAACTGAACTCATCTGTTGTTTGAAAAGCTTTTGAATAGCTTTATTTTATTTAAAAAATTAACCGGGAAATTTAAAAAACAGATCATGTGTTCATCATAACCTTGATTTATGAGTTTTTCAGCTGTACTTTACTTTATAGTGTATACATAGATCATGTGCATATATAAAAATGATTGACAGAATGTAATTCTAGAGGACATTGGATAAGTTTTAAAACTTATCATCTATGCTCAAAATTAAGCAAACAGATAATGTGCGTATGAAAATCAAAACAGTAAAAAAAATAGGAAAAGAAATAATGTTATGTTAATAAGTATTCAATAAAATTCAATGCATAAATTGGACACTGTTAGTTAGTAAGATGTCAGTCAGACTCCTTGAACGAATTTCACGTAATTAATATAAGTGGAATTTTCATTTACCTACAATGTATCTCATTGATCATTTCTACTCAAGAAGCGCGATAAAGCTTTAAATGTTTAAATGAATATATATTCTGTAGTCAGCTGTTTCGTACTGGTTAGTAATGGGATTCAGAAAGCGCACTCTTAACTATTTTGAACTTGTAAGGAGGATGTATCTGCATTTCACTAGGCCACAAGGTTGCAACTGTTGTCTGTCATACCATGTATAGTGGTTGTTATTGAGGATTTCGGTTCTTTGTGGTTTACATTATTACACAAGATTGATTGGCATTAGTTGGGTGACGTGATATTCATAGACATCTCAGTAGGACTTTTCCGAGAGAATGGAATCCACCTACTGAACCCCACTTCAATCCACCAGCAAAGAAATAAGACTTTTCAGAAACAGAATAATTTGAGTGAACAATTATTTTTACTAACTTCTTCAGGCTCTTCATTTATAAATCCACGAGAGTAGGTGATATACAATAGTCAAAGCAATAAAGGCTGACGAAAATCAACGTAGAACCTCGCACAAAAATGCAATGGC